GCAGATGCAGAAAGACATTGAGAACAAGTGTAAGAGTTTCCATTTTCTAAAAGTAATTTATAGTCCTCTCAGATCGGCAGAGTAAGTCATGCACAACAGAGACAATTGCCTTCTGTCTTGATGATACACTAATTACACAATGCAATAAGAGGAACGATTATCATAATTATGAATGTTCCTTTTGGCAAAAACCAGAAAACACACACTTATATATGATATGGAGTTCGTGAATACAGTTGCAGACATCAGCTACACATTTTCACCAGAGAAAGAGGATCTCCTCCAGCTGGTTTAATTAAATACCTTTCTTTTCTCACATTTATCAGATTATTTTTCATGAGAATTCAGCTCCTGCTCAGATCTGGCTGCAGGAACAGAACAAGACAAAAAACAAAAGAAAACATAGCCTCTACTGTACAATCGTACTTGTGAGATATAAAGAAAAATGGGTCACACCACACACACCTTCCATATAAAGGAGACTTTTATAGAAGTATGTAGAAGCATCCATGTTTTTTATACTCAACACTTCAAACTGCAAGCAACACAATTAAAATGTTTTTAAGCAGCTCAAGTACAACACCATAACTACTCAGCCAGCCTGTTCACAACCTTGGAAGAGATTTTCTTGCCTACTCTTTTGTTTTTTGTTTATTTTGGTGTTTCCTTGCATGATTAAATGCAGCCCACGTGTATTCATATCTAACAATACCACATACTATATATAGTACATGGGATTGTTCCCCCGGGGTCATCTCTGGTGAGGTGTCTACATACCAGTGGAAGATCATATTTAGGCTTGTTCACCTAGAGCTATGAAAGATTGAGCCTGCTTTGACAGACATCAGCTGAACACGTAAAGCAAGAAAATTATCCACCTTTCAACTGACTTGAAAAGCTGTCAAAGATTCAAAAAGAACTGTTTGGTCCTCAAGAATATCTGTGATAGCTAGAGTAGAGCCTAAATCCACATGGGTACACACCCATCTGAGTCCAACATCTTAAATATTCAGGTCTCACACAGCCTGGTGATGTACAAGGCCTGATACATGTCATGCTAGCTGTTACACTGTAACAGTCCTGGCAAGGACTGTAGCTTTAAATGTAGTGAACAGGGCCGCAACAAGATGAATCACAGAAAGTTGAATCTGCTCATCTGGACATAGTTTTGTCTTTTGCATTATTGATTGTTTATGGTTCAGTGTTTACTTGACAGACATTAACCTTGATATTGAATACGTACAGGTCTGTTTGTGATAAGCAAACTGATGGCTATTTTTTCTTAGATAAACTTGGTTTCAAGCTTGATTGCTCTTGTCAGTGCAAGAAGAGTTGCCAAGCAACCAAGGATGTGTGATCACAACCAGGGAGTAAACTAAAACATTGCTAGAGTGTCATGACACTAACATATGTGCAGTATAGCTATTTAGAAAAAGCACAGCTTACTGAAAACCAGTAAAACTGCAGCGTGGAGGCAAATATGCCTGCAGCAGAATATTCTGTTGTTGTAAACATCTTGTTTACAACCTTATCTGAACACTGACCTGGTGCTCCATATTTACCAAAATTCAAAGAAACATCAAAATATAAAAAAAAAAAAAAAAACTTGTACAAAAACTAAACACATAATTAAATCAACAGGGCGCTGCTTTCACATTGTGCTGCATTCCTGTTGATTAAAATGTCACTCCAGTGATTATACCTGCATGATGGATGTGACTAAAACTCATAGCAATGTAGTCGACAGCTATGAGATCCCTTTCTTTTTGTCAATTTGGAAAAATACTTGCCTGAGGCGACACTTTATATTTTATCTAGTATTTTGCCCCTGAAGCCTTCTTTACTCACCGTTAATCACTTATCTTTGGCCACAAGCAACGCAATTGGCTGGTGAGTTCAGTGTGTTTTTGTAAACTTGATGCACACACAGACATGTTATACACGCACAATGAGGATTAAGGATATTTGAGTTTATGCTCATGTTAGTAGCCGTTACATTGTTTTCCTTGGCCTTCATGCATGTATTAAACTGCAGTTTACTGTGGTAACGTTAGCCACTCAGATTAGATACCAGGAGTTGCTTTTGAACTCACAAGAGCATTTGCTCATTGGATCCCACTTTGATCCCACTTTGTTACAGCAAGCCAAGTTTCCATTTTCTAAAAGTAATTTATAGTCATCTCAGATCTGTAGAGTTAGTCATGTGTAGCAGAAACAATTAGCTTCTGTGTTGATGATACACAAAGTAATAACAGGAACAATTACCCTAATTATAAATGTTCTTTCTGGTAAAGAACAGGGAAAATGATGTGAGTTCTTTATGTATACCAGGAGTGGGGTTTGAACCCACGAGAGCATCTGCTCATTGGAACTTGAGTCCAACGCCTTAACCACTCGGCCATCCTGGTGTCTGCTCACATAGTAATAGTCTGTCAGGATCATGACCAACAAACCCAGAAATACGTAACTTTTTATCAAGTACAAAACATTTGCTTGAGAAGGTAACATATGATATCATATAGTAAAAATCACTGTGTCTAGTAGATATATATCATTAGGCCAAGGAAAGATGAAGTACTGCTTTTTGAGCTGCATTTCATTGTCTTCCTTTAACACAACACTTACTTACTAACTTACTAACATGCAGAAGGAAGCGCAAGTAAGTTCCCACAGATAACTTCCAGATTACCACACATGGGGTTCCAAAATGTACCAGGAGTGGGGTTTGAACCCAGGAGAGCATGTGCTCATTGGAACTTAAGTCCAACGCCTTAACCACTCGGCCATCCTGGTATCTACCCGTGAGGAACGCCAACATCACATCAAGAAGGCCTTGAGTAAATGTGGTTATCCCAGCTGGACTTTTGTTAAAGCTGGGAAGGCGCCAAAAGAAAGCGCCAGTCAATCCAGGAGAGAAGTACAACAGCTGCCTAAGCAAAAACCTGTAGTGATCCCGTACGTGTCAGGAGTATCGGAACAGTTGAGATGCATTTTTTTCTAAACACAGAGTCTCTGTGGCTCTGTGTCCCCCGACACAAACAGAGTAACATAGTGTACGCTGTTGTGCCAGGAGGATTGTCAGGATTTATATATCGGGGAAACCAAACAACCTCTGGCGAAGCGGATGGCACAACACAGAAGAGCTACCTCGTCAGGCCAGGACTCTGCAGT